TGTGCCCATCGGTTCATGCTTAGGGGCCAAATCTACAAAAATAGCTGCACAGGCTCTTTTAAGACTAGAAAAAGACCTGTTAACCTTGATTTAGTCAAAATTATTGTCTGCTATTTCAGTCTTAGCTTATCAGTGTAAGATGCATCTATACAGATCTGTGTTTTTGTGCAGCTGTGGCTTTTGTGAGTTATCATGCAAATTACCTGACGTCATGACACTCATTGCTTTGTGTGCATTGCAGCAAATGAGCTGTGATGAGATGGTTACTGTCAAATGTAACCTGTAACCGTGATGGTGAAATGGGAGTTCCAAGAAAACAGAGAGGCAGAAGGAAGTAAAAGGAAACTAAATGGAAGGGGTATAATTCTGACAGTTTTTCCTAACCTGTTCTGCCAGAAGGCTTCAAGACCTTGTGGAGTTCTGCACAGATATAATTTGTTTCCACTGAACCCTTGAAAGAATCTTTTTAAATAGGTCAAATACAGTTTCCTTGCTTTAAAGTTGTGTATCTCTTGCTCTTTATGAAACTGTAAGCAACCTTGGCAACAAACTGATCTGAGTAGCTGAAAATACGCAGTTGTGAGGGTTTGGTTTTTTTTGTTTTGCATATGGTTCTGTTGTCTTTCAGTATTTAGTGTAGTGTTTTCATGTGTATTAGGGAAGGGAATATATCCAGAAAATTTGGAATAAAGTTTACTTTTATACAGTAATAGAGGCTTTTACTTGGACAGCTACAAGTATCATTTTTCTTGCTATCATTGTAAGCTGACATTATTTTCTGTGTGAAGCTCATCATGAAGTACATAGGGGTTTTTTCCTTCTTTTTCTCTGCTTTTATTGTTTTGTTTAATACATGCCTGAGATTCTTACTAAAAAAGAAAAAAAGAAAGAACAATATTTTGCTTCTATGTGCCCATGCAAGTAATGTAGAGCAATTTTGGTGGCTGTAATTCTGTTCACTTAAGGAAGTAGAACTTTACCTTTGTCAAGGTTACTTCATATTAGTTTCATGTTTACTTTCAGAAAGAAATGTGAATTGACCTTCATATATGTCTGCTGATTTTCCTCTATTTGGGTAAAAGTTTGTTCATGATCTAGGTGAAATGGCTTTGTGACTTAAGAATTTTACCTAAGTATGTTTGCAATGCAACTATGATTTAGCAAAATGAAAACTTTACTAATTACATTTTTGATGTAACCATATAGTGGACACAGTCTTATATCTTATCTCACATAGTTTTGTTGCTAGTCAGGATGGAAAATAAAACTGCAACTCCGACTTGATCAAGGATTAGAAAAAAAATCATTGCTTCCATGAGAAATATAACGTATTTGTCATTGGTGGTAACTTCCCATTTGGACATTCTGAGCACGCATGAAAAGTGGCTTTTTACTGCACAATTTACTCGATGATTTTGCAGTTAGTGTCAAGATCCTTTCTACTTTAAGCTCATGCCAAACTTAGGTTTCGATTCTTAGCTTTGAAAATCATCACTTCAAAATGAAAGGGATGCTGTATTTCAGCGCTGGGTTGCCTTTGGCAAATGTGTTTCAAAGCCAGGTTTCTGGTGCCCATAGCAACCTGTGGAGAGGGAGGAGAAGGCTGGACCCAGATGGGGACCGACGCGCAAATAGGAATTTGGAATTTGCTAAGTGAGAAAAGCGCTTGAGGTTGGAGAAAGTCACAGACCTGAGATGAGAGGCAACAGTGGACTGATTAAAGAAGGTGAAGCAGAGGTCGTAAATGGGAAATGGGTTGATGCATTTATGCCTAATACAGCATACTAAATTTAAAAGACCTGAAATAACACCCCAAAACTATAACAAAATGTTGGTGAAAATTACTGTCAGTTTTCCCATTTCCCTTTGTGTGATGGTACATGGAACAGATAATAGTGTTTCCTTGTTGTTGTTTCTTCCATTAGCTCATGGAAAACGTTTGTGTATCTCTTATTTTGTATCCTTAAGTATATATATATTGTATAACCTCACATCATATTTCTCTTCCTCTCTACCCTGTTCTCCCATGAGCTCCTTATTTTATTCACTGCATAGACTTGCTTTTGAGTATCTGTTGTAGAAGGTGGAAGAGCTGAGTGAGTAAGACTGTATGAAGAAAGTGTGTGGTCCCACACAAGGGTTTTAAAACTCTGTTCTGGAGCATAGGTCTGTTTCCTTAGGAAAATCGTGAACTAATAAATTTGCCTAGGTGTATGTTTAACACAGTAGAGCATGAAATACTGTTATGTCTCTGTATAAATTTATGGTAGATCATCATAAAATTATATATACCTCATATCTTGTATACTGTATGCACTGTGTGTCCTTCTGTTTCAGAAAGAGCAGTGCGTCACTGGGAAGGGTAGAGAGGAGGACAGGATGGCTGGCCAGAGAATGGCTTTTGTGTAAGAAGTGGTTAATTGGAGTAGGATTCTTTAGCTTTGAGTAAAGGTAACTGAACAATATAGGCATCAAAATCAGGACTAACATGAAAGGTGAAGATGAGTGTGTGTTTACTGCCTCGTATAATTAAAAATCTGTGGATACCAACTATAATTAGCAGGATCAGGCTTAAATGAAAGGATACATCTTCTATTCTGATGCATAACTAAGCTGTGGAACTCCTTGCTTCTAGGTGCTAAAAATTTACACAGATTCAAAAGTAATATTCATGGAAGAAGATTTGATGAACAGCTTTAAATCTAAGATTCCTTATGTGACTTCAGAAGTTCCTGATTCAAAAATCACTGAGTATCTGGATAAAATGCTTTATAAATACTGCTTTTAAGTGATATATGCTTATTCTATTCCTATGTCCCTCCTTTACCATTGTAATAGCCATGGATAAAACACTGGACCAGACAAATCTTTGGTCTCACATGTGGTGGCTCCTTGTATGGACTAGTTAGGATGGTGAGTGCTTTTAAAAAGCAGAGGAAGGAATCTGATAATTCTGTATTCAGAGAACTGTTTCAATAATGTAGGGTATATTTAAAAAATGAAGCCATGCATGAAGGAGAAAACAAATTTTAAGAGCTGCTTATAGAGACCCTTTTATTAGGTATGTTCAAGGAATGCAACCAGATTTTTGCAGAACTAAATTTAATGTGTGACAATAGCATGAGCTGAGGTTTTTTGGGTTTGTGATTTTTTTGTTGGTTGGTTTTTTGGTGGTGGGGTTTTTTTGTTGGGTTTTGTTTCTTTTTTTTAAGAGAGTGGGGTAGCTGACTTAAGACAATGTTTTATGAATTGAAGCTTAGAGTCCAGTGGGTATTTTTGTTTGGGTTGGTTTTTTTTAACAAAAAAGGTATACATTTATATGCCAGCTGTTGCTTTCCATGTAAAATTTGCTGTGTGCTATTGGTTGTGTAGAGGCTTGTTCATCTGACCTTAGCTAGCTGTTAATACCTTTTCAGCAGCACCTTGGAAGAATTTTTTTTCTTGAAGAAAATAAAAGGAATGCAACTCTGATGCATGCTTCTAAGAGTTTTGATGTAGAAACAATGTCTAGTGCATATTCTTTTGACCAATGGACATCACATCGTCTTAAATTCCATGGAATAGTATTTCTAAATACTGTTGGGCATTTTATGATGTTTTACCAAAGCAGTCCTTTGTTGATATTGGGTAAATATAAAATGACATCCCTTCATTTTGTGATGTTCCTCCACCTCTTTCTTTTTCTTTTTTTTTTTTTTCTCTTCTCCCAAGCTGCATCAGAATGTCATGGTTGTTTCCTCCATGTAAATTGAATGTATTGTGACGTGTAGCCTGTGACTAATTGCCTCTTGCTGTCTCTACGTATTAGCTGTCTGATGGTGATGTGGTTGCGCCACTTTCTACACATGGCCTCAAGGATATGGCATTGTGACACCCATATTAAAATATGCAAGGCTGGATTTCAAAAGATGTTTTGGGTTGGAAAGTTAGAGAGGTTATAAGCTAATGTTGTGGCTGGTTTTACCCCTTTTATTTTAATGAATATTAGGTGGTAATAGAATAAGGTCTACCTATTTCATGTTTATACATTCTAATATACAGTTGATATTCTAGAGGCTGTTTCTTTTCAATTATTTTCCAGTTTTGTTGAATTAATGTTATCCTACAGTTCAAGCAGTATGTTTGGAATATGGCTTAGCAATTTTTTTACCAAACATGCATTTGAAGTTTGTTAAGTATCAGTATTTTACAAGTCAGTTTGGTGCATTAGTACCAGATGAAAAGCCAGTGTGCAATCATAATCTTTTAAGTTGTGTGCACTCTTATCTTTCTAAACAGTTTACTAAAATGAAGCAAGTGCTGGACTGGTATTGGCAAATGTGCGACTTAGAGGTTATTGTAGAGAGAGCAACTGTGTGACTGCCTCAATTATTCATTGGTGTCTTCGTAGCTGTGAAATAGTTCTGTTGCAGAAATACTTTCTGTGGTCTTTATCCTTTTTAAGTAAAGATATTCCCTCTTTCCTTCTCCCTCCTGCTTCCCAATGAAACTCCAAATACTGTCATACAAAATGAGATGTAATTTAGTTTAGGAACGGAAACTTGATGTTCTCATGGCTTTGTTTCATTATTGTGATGATAATTTTATAAGACAAACAGGAAATACAAAGTGGTTTCTCTATAAGGTTTCCTAAAATAATGAATGGAGTTTACCAAAACTTTGTGGGTAAATTTTTGAAACCTCAGATCACTCAAGGCCTAAAGCTTAGAGTGGTGAGCACCACCCCCTTTGACAACTGTAAATTTGTTAAGGCATCCAATTGAAATTGTATGAAATTATTGGTCGTTTTACCTACAAACTATAGATTTAGAATCTAGCAAACTAACTGGAGTTTATTTAATTGGAATAAAGTATGTAGTATAATATTTTACTAATGAAAATACTTGGTTCTTCACTGAAATTATTTTATGCATGCACATGTTTTACGGCAATACACATGTTTAATGATGCTTCCTCTTTATTAATTTGTAAATTTTATTTTTCAAAATTTTATTTTTTAGGGGTTTATAAGAAGAAATAGAAACCTTTTCTCAAGCTGAAGACAAAGTAAAAGAAAGCTATATCATGTGTTAGAATACTGAAGAGTGAAATTCCTTGAAGTAGTATTTTTCTGGATTGCAAAGTAAAAGGAAGAAGAGGCTGAAAATGGGGAGAAAGAAAATACAGATCACAAGAATAATGGATGAACGGAACAGACAGGTGAGAAACAAGGAGTCTGTATGAACAAGTTCATCAGTAATCCTAAAAATTAATGGAAACTTCGAATACATTTGTCTTAATTCACTCTTCTAAAGCTGAGCTTTGTCTTCATGTATCTACAGATGGCATTACCAGAATACAAATAAGAAATATGTCTCAATGGTTTTACTGCTGTTGTAGGGGAAATTGTTACTTACAAATAATATCAATTACTACTTTAAATCAAATTCACTATAAAACTACTGTTCCTATTTAAATGGTACCCTAGTCTGTACTTCTAGTAGACTGGAGGATTGTGTCGAAACAGACACCTTACTTGATCTGATAGCTTCTAGGAACACTTAATAATGAAGATGGAAAAAGGATGAGAAATTCAGAAGGGATGTAGTAGAAGTATTTGCTGCAGGCTCTTTGACAGAGGAGTTTGACATAGCTGTGGACAATGATCTACAGTGGTTTGGATATAGTAATGAATTCTGTTAACATGATTCTGTTTAAAAGCATTGATTTATATTCCTTGTAAGAGCTGTTTACTGTAATAGTCTTCAAAAATTGTCAGTCAAAAGGGGAGAGTACTCAAAACTGCACTGTTTTAGGGAAAGCTGCTTAGTTGGTTGCTCTTGCCCTAATAAAGAGATGTTGTTTTGTGAACTTGGAAAGCGCCAGAAATTGACTCTGTGCAGAAGTTGTGATTTCTCTTAACTTCTAAATTGCTACATGAGGTATGAAATAAAATTTTAACTGGATATTGAACTGTATAGTGGGGTGTCTGGAAGCTATACCATTTTTAAGGAAAGGTATCATAGGAATGACTTAGGATCTTTAAGAATAGTCCTAGTGGGTCAGACCAAAGATGCTGCTAGGCCAGTATCTTTTGTCCAACGATGGTCATAAGCAAATAAGCGTAGAATAGAGATGCACATGTTACGCTATTCTGTAATCCTCTTCCAGCTTCTAACTATTCTTAGCTCAGGGATTTCCTGAGCTGGATGTGGTTTCCGTATCTTTAGTAACCATTAATGGATTTTTTTTTTGTTTTGTTTTCCCTGGCCCCCACCAGTGAACTTGTTCAGTTATCCCTTGAGCCCTTATAAAATTGCAGCATTTACAACATCTTTTGGCTAGGATTTCCTATAGGTCTACTACCTGTTGTTCAAGAAACACCTTTTCATTTATGCTTCGTCATGGTTCTGCTAGTTATGTAGCTCTTGTATGAAAAAGGCAGCAGTCACTCCCTGTCTAGTCTGTCCATCTTGCTTGTTATTCTGTGGGCCTCTGCCATGTTTTCTTATTTTCTCTTAAAATAACTTTTTCAGGCTGAAGCACCCTAGCTTACTTCAGTTGTTTTAGTACAGAATTTATTCCACACCTTTGACCGTTGTTGCTACTCTTCCCTAAACTTTCCTGAGTATTGCTACGTTATTTTTGATGGCAAAGGGACCCAGAACTGCACAGTAGTCAAGATGCGTGCAAAACATGGTCTTAGATAGTGGTGTACTCATGTTTGTTCTTTGTTCCCTTCCTAGTATTTGATTTGCTTTTTTAACTTCTCCTGAGCACCACCTTGATGTTGGGGTAGTGTCAGAATTCCATGAGACTCTCTTGTTGCTGACATAGCAGCTCAGAGCCCATTGTTTTGTTTGTGAAATCAGCATTGTTTTTCTCCCTGTATCACTTTAAAGCAATGTAAACTCTGAGAAGACTATATATAGCAAGAAAAGTATTATTGGAGTTTGGGAGAAAGCCAAGTATTGTGTTTGAACAGCTTTAATCGCACAGTGGCTGTATGTTTGATGTAGATAAATGTCTTAAGTACACGTAGTAAAAGTAGATGAATTAATAACTTCAGTTCTTTCAGATCTTGCTCTAGAACTTCAGGCACATTGAAGAGGTGGAAATTGATCCCACTCCCCCCTTTTTTTAACTTATTTGAGTAAGTTGGACAACCGTGTTCTTGTTCTGCTTGAAATACAAATATCGTTATACTATATGCTGACTTTGGTGTGGTGGTGGGTTTTTTTTTTTTCAGGGGGAGTTGGTTTTTGGTTTTTTTTTTTTGCTTTTTTTTTTGGATCTCCATCTCATTGTTCAGATTGGAACAATGGAGAAGAGGAGAATTAGTGCATTTGTATCAAATTTTAGCCCACTTGTACCGTTGGTGTGACTGAAGTAAAATATGGGGATTAAATTCTAAATTTTCTTTCTGGCTGTTTTTTGGCTAGCACTTTTTTGGGCTTTTTAGTGACTAGGATGAGGCTTTAAGCACTAACTTAAAAATGTGATTAGGCTTGCCTTATCCTTTTTCTGTGGAAACTCAGAGATGATAACATACCGCATCTTGTTTTTAAAAGGTTTTAAAGAGATTAAGTAGATTTTGTTAGTGGAGCCAACATTTTTGATGTGTAGGGGTATTGATGGTGTTCTTTAACTCCACTGGTGTCCTGTGGTTTTGGTAGCTAGTATATAGAGTTTTAACATACTAAAATCTGATGCACAGGATATTTATTAGGTATTAATTTACTTTTGAGAATATTTTTATTGCCCAGATAAGGAGGGCATTTAGGGGTTGTTTTGCTGAATGGAAGGTATAGTTCAGTTGTGTTCTGTCAGTTTTTCTATGGCATACATAGCTGGTTAGTAGGTCACTCCTGAACGTGCGTATGATGTTCTGTTTAGATGTTTAGTATGATGTTTAGGGGTTTTTTTTGTTTGGAAATCTGAGTAGAATGGGATAGAGCTTTGCCTGCAGAGCAAGTTCATATAGCTTATGTGGGAAGGAAAGTTATTGTTTTATCAGAAGCATCTTATTTCTGGTGGGATTGTATGTGAGCTCAAAACAGAATATATAGACCATTACTCTGGGGGATTGCAATTGTCACGAGACTGTCATTGTATTATTAATTAAGCAGTCTTATCTGCTTGAATGAGCTGTAGGACATTTATCTTCATTAAGCTGAAGAGAATAAAGTACAGCAAATTAGATATCAAAGGAGCTCAATCTTGCTGCCTTTGCTGTCTCCTCCTCACCCTTTTTTGCTAAGCAATATTAGAATAGTGCTGAGGAAGCCGTTGGCCTGCAATAAAGATACGTGTTCTTGTTTTTAGTGTGGTCCTAAATGTCATACTAAATGTCAAGAAAAAAAAAAAAAAGAATTTGCAGAACTAATATTCTGCTTTCTGAGTTGTGAGTTTATAATAGTCTATGTGCATTAAAGTGAGGCTTGGACTCCAGTGGTAGTGGGGTTTGTGCTAAGCACTGTCTAAACACAAAGTGAGAAACCAATGCTAACTGAGAATCTCACAAGTAAAAAAATCTCATGAGTAAAATAGCCTTACAAGAGGCGAGAAGGATAACATTTCAGTAGAGAAGGTAAGATCCCTTGCCCAGGATCATATGGATCCTCAGTGGAACTAAGCCTTCAGTCTTTTCATTTAATGACTTCTCAAAGTAATGTAGTGCACACACATCTTGTTTATGATGCCTTTTTCCTGACAAAAACTGAACAGTAGTATCTGTCTATACCTGCTCATACTCAGGTAATGATCTCTTAAATGTCTTGTAATTTGAAGTGTCTAGAACAACAACAGCTATTTTAAAAAAAGACCCCACAGTTTCCCCAAATCCCCAGAGGAATCCTGACAAAGTAATTCTTAATGTCCCATCCAAGATAGAATAAATAAATCCCAAGTGTTCTGAAAGAAGGTATGTGTAAAGTGACAGAACTGCTAGGAGACTTACACAAGATCTGTTTTTTAAAAGCAGCTGTATTGTATTATATGTGGATAGTAAAATTTCCACTTGCATTTGGGAAAAGCACAACCTAGTAAAACCTACATTTGTCCTTGGTCAACTTGTTGAATTGGTAACTGAAAATAAAATACCAACGAAGATGCATTAAGGTAAAGTCTGTCAGATTTTTTGGCATCTCGTCTCACAAATGTATTGGAATTGTTAAACAATAAGTAGGTAGAAAGATCTGCTTACTCTAGTTGAACCTAGAGTGTGTTACTGTGCTCTTACTATCTCTGAAACAATTTTATGTGCTGTATCTTAATGGAGCTTCTCACCAAATGTGCTTTAAAAGGGTTGAATAAAAAAGTTATGGTAAGTACTCACTTGTCATCTGAACATGGATTATGCAAGCCACACAAAACGCTCTGTGATTAGTGGTCTTTAAATCTGAAGAAGTTTCCAAGTTAGAAGCGCTGCACAGGAACTTAGGTTGAGCTGTGGTTAATATGCCTGACATTCGATATTCTCATCTTTCTAGCTCTTCTGATTATTACCTCCATTCCAACTGTGGCTAAGTGTTAACAGTCCAGGTTTTCAAAAATCGTAGGCACAGTACATTTTTGGGGGTAGGGGGCACATGTTAAAACAGACTTTTTTTTTTTTAATGGATGTGGATACTGTTCTGTAGCTGGAGAAGAATCTCAGGTCCACAGTACCTTTGCAAGCATTTGTGGTAGAAGAGCAAAGTATGCATGTACTGTTTTAATAATATAGTTATTGTCGGTGTGCTATGTATGTAACATTATTAGTATATCTGTCTGCATCCCTCTGAGACTATGTGTTGGGAAGGATAGTATATATTTTGTATTATGGATAGTATTAAAAAAGTAATATGCATGAGATACTCATCTCTAGAAAAAATGCCTTGAGGTATGCATACACAGAATTTTCCCATCCATCTTCCAAAAACTTAATGTACAATTAGGTAATTAACATGTTAAACTATAGAAACCCATAAAACAGGTTTGATTGTTCCTTGTGTTTTACTTCATTCCATATTTTGCAATAGTATTCTCATGTCTGTTAAACATGTAGGTCACGTAGGTCACTCACCTGTCACAGAGGCATATACTTTGAATTGTAATATGGGGGTGTGACTGTGGCCATGGACAGAGGTGTTCCCTTCAACACTGAAGCTCAGATTGAAAGGCTAGATTCGAAAACAGCATCTTTATTTAAAAGGTCTCAGAACATTAACGTCATAGTAGTAGACTAAGTGCCTTTTTGAGACACTTAAGAGGACGTTTAGTAAAAATATTGTCCTTGAAGAAAAGCTGGCCTTAGCATCAGACTTATGTTTTGATTCAACTTGATGTCAAATACATCGATACTCTTGTATCATTATCTAACTGAAATCTTGCAGAAGGAATAATTTTTTAAAACTTTTTTTCATAATTGATGGTGTTTTTTATAAGTAAGTGTCTTTCCCCATTCCCCAATGGGCAAATGCTTCTTTGTGATGGTCTGTAATGGATTCGTTTCCCCACAGCAGTTCTAACTGGACAGAATGATTGTCTCATGATGTTCCCAAGTGGCAGAAAACAGCTTGAAAGTATAAGTGAATCTAAGTAGATGGTTTAATAGCAACAAAATAAGCATATTTCTTAGCTTTGCATAATTAGAAATCATAGAATCATAGTAACAGTGTTGCTTCCATTGATATTGCCATTTTCTTTGATTTTTACTAGAGTTAAGGTTGTGAGTAACTTATAAACTAGTTACAGAATAACTGATCATCATAGAAGAAAATATTGTGATACCTGGAAAGTCAGTGTTGGTTGAACAGAAGGAAATACGGTTAGAGGATCCTAGAAACTTTAACCCTCCTTGGTAGTTCTATACCAGTGGAAGAGTTGGGGGGGTGTAATTGTTTAGCTTAGTCTAATACAGAGCATTGGCCCCAAAAGTGACACCCAAATATGATAGGCAGTTCTTCTTTTAAGGTTGTACACGTGTTCAGTTATGTTGCTTGTTAGTATGAATAAATAGTGTAGGCTTGGTATATTCCTTGAATGCTTGATTATAGTCCTTTAAACCCTTGTCGTGTTAAAGAATAATGATTATTTTTTTTTTCCTTCTCTAGGTCACCTTTACAAAGAGGAAGTTTGGATTAATGAAGAAGGCATATGAGTTGAGTGTACTCTGTGACTGTGAAATAGCACTCATCATTTTTAACAGCTCTAACAAACTCTTTCAGTATGCCAGCACTGATATGGACAAAGTTCTACTTAAATACACAGAATACAACGAGCCCCATGAAAGCAGAACCAACTCAGATATCGTTGAGGTAACAATTTGAAAAGACACATCAGTTTTCTTGTCTTCTTAATGCTAAAAATACAGAGTAATGTAGAGTATTTTAAGATATTTTAACCAAATGTATTTAATAACTTGAAAACCTTGTCATAAAATGTAAACTACGTGATAAGTCATCTTTACAGCCATGTTGTTTTCCCATCTGCCCTCTACACCCTGCCAGTTTCTGGGAAACATGTTTGATTTCAACCACATTTGGCAATGGAAATAGAGGGGTGAAAGATGGTTGTTTTTCTGGGGGAGGGAGGGAAGTGTTCAAGGTTTTCATGGAAAAAAAATCCACTGGATGGAGAATAAGGTCCAAGGAGTGCCATCAGCCTAAAAGACAATTACAGTTGGCCCCTTTTCTCTTCTGAGGTAGTAGCTACTTTACCAGACAGATGTTGCACATGGATCAAATCAGCCACAGCCTGTGCTGCCCCTTGTTCAGCCAAAAAAAAAAAAAAAAGTGAATCTGTGGAGCAAAATAACTTAATTAAATTTGTTGTCCAGTCACTCTGTATGTCAGTTAAAACATAGCAGTGGAACAACTGCATTTTCTGCAGTAATAGAATAGCATGAGTATATTTACTCAAAGGTATTGGTTTTGTCTACTTTTATTATGTTTGTGCTTTAAATAGAAACTCTTTCCAGTACATAATTTCTAAATTGGGTGCAGTAGAAATCAAGGATTTTCTTGGCAATTGGAGCTTTTATGTACTGTAGCTGCATTTCAGATAAGAGTCATGTCTCCAGTAGTCCTGTAAATAGACCAAAACAGGTGGCTGACTTAAGTGTTTCATTTAAATTCTGAAGTTGTCTTCTGAACAAATGCCTTGCTTTTTAGGAATGATTTAGGAATAGCGATTAACCTTGTATAGCTGAAGAATCTTTTGACAAGGGGATCACAGAATACAGGGAGGATACTAGCTGATCTTGTAAATAAGTTTTCAACAAAAATCAGATTGATAAAGCTGAAAAATAGACAAATGCCTTATTTCTTTTTGAGAAGGTTCTCTGCTAATTTGTCAACTGCGTTTTATGAACAGAAAGAAAACCTCCCCGACTTCTGTCTTCAGTGTTGAGTACTAATGAGGGGGATAATACAAGCTTTGAAGAGTTGGAGGAGTATTACTTAGTCACTGATGAGTATAAATAAGGGATAGCCACTGTAAAGGAAAGGAAAACCTAATTCTTCCCAAGATGAGATGACTGTGACAGATGGGAATTTGAGATGAGAGATGCAAGCAAGTCAGTTAGCCAGGCTGATTTTTGTTTTGCATCTAAGGTCTCTTTGTGTTATGACTTGTGATAATAGTGCTTCTTCACATCATGAGGACTAAGAACAAACCTCTTCCAAAATAATTTCTACGTAAGGCTGCCTGTAGGTTTTTTGGGGTTTCTTTTGTTGGTGGGTTTTTTTTACCAGTGTCAAGCGTTTGACCCCTGGCAACTACATAAAAAAGTGCAGTCAGTACTCAAGTGCATAGATGGTTTCTATTCTGGGGGAACATGCAAGGACTCACCTACAGATTCTTCAGATTCTTTCTAATTTTCCTCTGTAGGTTTACTGTATTATAGTAGTGTGGGATTTGGGACTTTACTCTTATTTTTCAAAGCCAGTATAATTTAGGAGTGCATCTCCCAGTCTCTTCAGATTAGCCCTATGCACTCTTTAGTCTGCTTGAAATGTTTTGTGGTTTGGTTTGGTGGTTTTTTTTTTTCTTTCTTTGTTAGTAAAAAGTTATTTAGCCAGAGGGGGGAGTGTATAGCTTTTTGCAGGGAAAATATATTCTTTAAGTTTATGGCTGCGTTCTGGATAGGAAGGTTAAGTTGGTAGGATGAAATATTTACAAGCTCGATATATATAAGGTAGAGTGATGTTTTCTCTCTGTTGGATTCCAGGAAAAAAAAATTAGGTGTACAGTATTTCAGAGAGGTACTCCACAGTTTTCATTTTTTGCAACTGATTACATTTCAGATTTGCTCTGCCTGTACGGTAACTTTGTAGTCTATTAGTTATTGTTCTTTAGGCAATTAAGAGATATCATTCATGGTTGTGTTCAGATGGTTTGCTTCCCACTGTAAGTAAAATAATGTCTTTAATTTAGAAAAGCATTCCTTTTCAGTGGAAAATTCAGTAGAAAATTATCTACTTTTTTTGCTTTACAACAGAGCTGAATTGGTTCAATGGAAAATATGATGTGCTTCGGAGCAGATGCAATGACAGGTACAGCATAGGTAGGGGAGGAGCATGGGAGAAGAGATGAGATAGGGCAAGAGTAAGACTCCTGTATTTAAGCAGTAGCAAGTTGCCAGAAGCTCACTGCTTCATGTAATGTCACCATTGACAGATGTTTGTGGCATGAGAGAGGTGAAGTTACAGCACCAGCATTTTGGAAACATGCTGAAAGAAAATGGCTTCTCTTTATTGTGCCTATGTAGAAATACTATTTTAACAAATAAAAATTACAGAAAAAGCCCCCTAAAAATCTACCAAATATATACTAAACCAATTTAGAATAAGTAATTCCATTTTATGGAGTTATAGCTGATGTATATATATCTTAGTTAACATTTTAGTAATTCACTTGCCTCCTTGAATATGACAGATGGTATTTATTGTGATGTAGGCTCACCGTGAAACTAGTCTTGACCCACTGTGTTCCTGATATGCATGACAGCAGGTTTTTTTTTTTTTTTTCCCCCTGTGCTAGAAGGAAAGCTAATTCTACACAGCTCAGAAGCTGTATAAGGGAAGAAACAAATTTACTGTTACTTATTTTTCAGTACTGGGTAGAAGGTAATGTTGTAAATGATTAAGTGAAATTGATGAGACATCTTCCCCTTATAGTTGCCTCCTGTTCAATTTTGGCATAGGAATTGCTTTTATATGCCCAGAGCTTGGTATCTTCTGTTGCTGGTGGAACATTTGTGTGAAAACATAGTAGGAGGGAGAGCACTGGCACCTTAAATGAATGCTAGAATTTTTTTTGATACATGCCCTTATGTCTTTCATTGTACACGTTACTGTAGATGTGAATGCTCTGTTGCTGTCCTGTACCTATTTGTTTCTAATTTTTTTGTCCCTTTTATGTGTTTTTGTTGGTCCCATTCTTCTTTTTAATTTCTGTTAATAT